GACACTAAACTCTCCTCCTCTTGCATGTTTCCTCTGTCCATAGCGTTCCTTGACAGTGTCGTTTCTAAGTCACCAATTTAGTGCTACTTGGTCCCAATCGAAGTTTCCCATTGGGAACCTACTAGCACTAAGTTGCTAACTGGTTAGCAACATCCGAAACGTCTTCAAGTCCAGTGGATTTTATTTTATTTTTTTTTAACTTTTTTGGAACTATTATTAGCACAGCAGAGGATCTGTGATGCTCAGGGCCTTTTCCTCTGTTGGAAAATGTCTTTGGGTGTTTCAGGAGCTTAACGATCCAAAACGTTTGCTCAGATCAACATGAAATTGATTAACAAAGACAAAATCAAGCTTCTTCAATTACTTAATTTGCATTCTTCTGAGGAGAGCATAAGAGAGAAACCAGGATCTGAATATGTGTTTGTTTATAGAACGAGTTCTTGGACAAACAGCGGATCAAATCAACATCTTATTTTTTTTAGAATTGGCTGCAGGAGCCCAATATTTGGACAAACATGTAACTGAAATAAAAGAATAAACATGTTTTATTAATTCTAATGGTTGTGAAAATATTTTTTTTTAGCAAATCCATGTATTTAAGATTATGTATAAGTGTTTTTGCAACTCTAACTTGGCTTTTGTTTCTTTTTATTTCAATTTCAACAGTTTAATCCAGATTTTAGAGCAAAAATAAAAAATAGTTTTTATTTTGTTGTTGATGGTGCATTCCTGTTGTTATGGTTCATGATTCATTGTCATATAGCTGCTTATTGTTTTGATAGCTGATTTTAAGATCCAGCAGTGCACTTTTACATTCTGTTTGGAAAAATATTTATTTAGCAACCACAGCATTTTACCAGTAGCAAACTCTGGAAAATAAAACGAAGATTCGGTTTCTCAATAACTGCTGCAGCTGCTGGGCTTTGCACTAACGTGTGCACCGCTGTGAGAAGTTTCTGGTTTCGTTTCTGGCACCGAGCGTGTACAAAAAAACAAGCTGCGGTGGGTGAGTCCGCGAGGGAGGGGGGATTGAGGAAGCGAAAATGAAATCCAGTTCAAAGTTCGTCTATGTTGAGATGATGGCGAGGCCGGTTTCAATAAATACGCGTATTGTTTTATATTAAATGCATGGGTACATATTATCAGTATTTTTTTATACTTTAGGCTTAAATATTTTAATAAAGGTGTTAGACGCATTTAAAAGGATTGCTACTAGTGGTGTATTAGAATTCTCCTCTTTCGCAACAAGAAGAGGAACAAGTCTAAATACAAATCAGAGTGAGCGCTCTTCGCATTTTGCATGGGAACGCGCATAGGATCTTCGGCAGCTGGGCTCAGAGCGAAGCGAAGCTCGCGAGTTCGTAGGGGGATTTCCAGCACGCGCCCCGACTTCCAGAAGCAGCGCTTGTTTTGCTTTCGGTCTGAATGCAGAAACAGAAATAAACCACCGACACCATCTCTGTTTTTTTTTTTTTTTTGCATTTTTAAGCCCTCCGGCTGCCCGACTCCCGCGGACAGAGCGACTTCCACCCGACAGCGGCGCTGAGGAGCCCCAGGCCAGCCGAGCTGACCAGGTAACCGCTTTTATTTCCGCATATTAAGCTGCTGGCTGCGCAGGCAGGGCGGTCAGTGTCACAGCGGCTTCCTACGGGACGACATGACAGCTCCTCGCTCCGCTCTGTAAGTGAAAGTACCCCCTGCTAGAGTGTGTTTCTTTTAGTTTTCGTTCGTTGGCGGGGTGTTGGATTTATTTTCACTTTTGTCTCGGTAGTTTGTGGCTCAGCTCGCTGGCAGCCTGCAGGCAAACACTCCGCTAAACTTTTGACCTCCGAGGCGAAATTCAACTTTGCTCAGACCAAACGGCTCCAGATGCGCAGAGTTAGCACTCAAATGGCATATTTAATTTTCAAACGCTTAACTTAAAATATAAAATTAATATTTTTTCCTTAAATGCTAGAGATTTAAAAAGCATTAGAATTTCATATGGAATTACCGTTCTGTATTTGCTACTTTTCTGATAACTGGCTTTATTTTCACATAATTACCGTATTTCATAGATTAAAGTAGATCAAAATATTTAGAGAATAAGATCTTATGTATCGGCGTGGTTATTTTTACAAGCCAGTAGAACAAAGGTCATTTCAGTGCAGTAAAAATGTTTTTAAGTGAACTTTTTTTTTAATTTCCGGCTAGATCTGCTCAGAAATGAAGTTGAGTAATAAATAGTAGGTATGATGGGGGTAGGTGTTAGATAAAGGCTGGAGCTTTGCCACATTACCCGGTCTGACCTGTCAGGGAGCTGCTGTCTGTCACCACAGGACCAGGAACCATCAGGCCTGCTGGACTTTGATCAGGAACCAGCAGCTTTTTTCCCTCTGTGGTCTTAAGGAAGCATGCAGCCATTGCTATCTTTGTTTTCAATTTGTTTTTGCATTACTTCCTGCTGTTATTTATTTAGTTAACAATATTCTCTTGGAATAAACTGTGTAACGTTTGGCCACTAGGGGCGCTCGACCTGTAGCTGTCAGGTGAAGATCCGTGACAGGAGCTGCAAACTGGACTGTAGATCCTGCAGGTTTTAGAGGTTTCCCTGCTTTAGCACAGCTGATTATGATGATTGCAGTTCAGCAAAAGCCTGTTAATCAGCTTTCATTTAAAATTGTAGGGAAGTCATATTTAAATGTCAAATCATTCTGGCTTAAACGTGTATATAAATGAACTCTTTCTCCTACTATATTGTCTCACAATTTAGAAAATTTCTATATAAAATAATCCTGTCTTAATTTCTGTGGGGTTTTCTAGTTATCTTATGCAGGTCAGTTAGTTATACATCAGCCTGAACGCCTAAATTCAGCCAATTATATATCAACGGTCATCTATCAATCAGATTTTTTCAGTCATAGCATCTTGATTCATATGTTGCAGCTAATATACGCAACGGTTGAAATCAGAATAATTTCCTTTCCCATTGAGTTCCGTCCCAGTGTTCACGGCCCTCCAGGATGCTGGATGTAGATGGATGAAGCTGTGTTCCGGTTCTGGTATCAGATCAGTTTGGACCAGTAGATTAAAAATAATGCAGTTCCTGGTAAATTCAAGGCCACATTCACCCTCTGGATGAAATCCTCCATCAGAGAACCTGAAACATGTCTGATCAGCTGAGGGTCAGAGCTAACAGCTGTTAGCCTAGTTAGCTCTGATGTTTAAGACATACCCTCAACTTTATGTATCCCTTGGGATTAGTCCTTCATGGAAATTCTGGTTCCAGCAGCTTATATATAGTATAAAGATGCCAGTAAAGATAAAAATACAGCAGACAATATAAAAAAAGAGTATATATAGTCCAAAAAGCCGAAATAAATAAGTTGTAATATCCTGGAATATGTTTCCCTTAGGTATGAGGATATGTGCACAGTAGAGAGCTAAGGGAAGACGCACAGTAGCTGACTTGGATTATTGCACTTGAACTGCACAAATGTACTGACCTTATAAATGGGTAAAAACTATACAGAGTTCAGAATGACGGGACCCGGCGCTCTGGGTCACATGACTCAATCAGAGATGGATCCCATCCTCTGAGGTGACAGAGGAGAGTTTAGAGAGAAAGCATCAATAGCTGAATATTAATGAATCTTTTAATGCATCAAATTAAACTGCTGCACTGCAAAAAATGTAAATCTTAAGTCGTTTTTTTAAAATAAGTGCATTTTTCTCTTGGATTGAGGAAGTAAATGCAACATTTTTCCAATGGAAGAACACAATTTACATTTAAAATAAGATTAAAACAATTGCATCATCTTATTTCAGGTGCGTTTTCTCTTAATTTGAATTAAATATGCATTAATTATCTTAAGAGTAAATTAACGCATTCCATTGGCTAATCCTCTTATTTACCTACTCAAATTAAGGTTAAATACACTTCATTTAACACATTTTTACTTATTTTTTTCTAGATTGTTTATGCAGTGTTGCTCAGAAGATGCACACGCTGCAGAAAATGTAAATCTAAGTCTTTTTATTTTTAGTTGAGCAGGTAAGTGAGACACTTTTCCAACAGAATATGACCATTTATATTTTAAACAAGAAAAAACAACTTTGTTTTTTTATTTCAAGTGCATCATATCTAATTATCTTATTCTAAGGGTAAAATGTTTGTACCATTGGCAGATCATCTACTCAAATTAAGGGTAAATGCACTTATTTTAAGACTTTTTTGCTCATTTTCAGAAGGTTTTTGCAGTGCAGTGTTGCTTTAAATGAGCCTGGGTTCACTTTTTTTTAGTAGCTGTATTTTAAACCATGTAACCTTTAGAAAGGAAACAGAACCATGTGCTAAATAAGGGTCCATCTACTCTCAGAAACAGTTATTAGTGTGAATGTAATGATGTTGACATGCACTGATATGACTGATCTGTTTCCTTTGAGGCCATTGAAATAATCGTCCAGTTCCTTATTTTACTCCTATAGTAAGGATTATAACAGAAAATGTGCTGCAGGTGAAACTAGTAGCTTTAAATCTAACAGGAAACAGGAAGTTCAATGTGTGAAGGATGTGTTTACCAGATTATTGGATGCAGGATTGTCAGATTCTGCTCTGGACGGGTCGGTTCAGTCCAGCATGGTGGGTCAACGGGTTTGGTAGTTTGTTGAACCTGTGAACTTTCCTCTCGTAGATCGCAATGCCAGTAGAGAGGATGAGGATGAGGCCCTGGTTGGAGGAACAGATTAATTCTTGTCAGATCCCAGGACTGAAATGGGTTAACAAAGTAAGTGTTGGCTTCAGCGCTGTCTCTCACTGACGCCTCTATAATACTGACAGACTGGCTTTTCCTCAGGAGAAGAGAATCTTCCAGATCCCCTGGATGCACGCGGCGCGTCACGGCTGGGACCTGGAGAAAGACGCTCCGCTCTTCATGAGATGGGCCATTCACACCGGTACCTGCAGCACACTGCTTCTCTTTCACTAAATCTCTGTCACATAATCGGAGTCGGCTCACATTTACTGGTTTAGAAAAGCAAACAGCAGCCAGTCTGCTTTCAGACGACCAAATTAAAACTTCTTCTGCCTTTTATTAGGAGAATAAAGTTTTTATTTTGTCAATGTTCTAACATTAAGATGAAAGCTTCCATAGACGATCAACCAAACTGCAGCGTTTGAACTCAGACTGCTAAGAGTTTATATTGAGGTTGAGACATATGATTTATTTCAACTCTATGATTCTAAAATAGGACTGTTCTCTGGCAATGTTACCACTCTATTCTCATAACATATTTGCTTTATTCTGGTAATATTACGACGTTAACCTCGTACATGTATTATTAGGACAAACTAGAAAAAATCTAGTCATTTTTTTCTTAAATTAAGTGAACTTGTTCTTGGATTGAGGAGGTAAAGGAGATATTTTGCCAATGGAACAAGACAATTTACACTTAAATTAAGAAAACACAATCGCATTTTCTTACTTTAAGTGCATTTTATCTAATTATCTTGTTTCAAGAGTAAAAATACTCATTCTATTGGCAAACTATCTCCATTACCTACTGAAATTAAGGGTAAATACTGTTAATTTTCTTAAATCTTTGCTTATTTCTATATCTTTTTTCTAGTGCATTATTCTGCTGATATCATGACTTTAGTTTTTTTTAATAAAATCTTCAAACATCTCTCAGTATGGCCTTAAATACTCAGTCATATGTTTTGGATCCAGATTTAGGGAGCTCATAATTTCCTAGTCAGTAAAATGGGACGATTCTGTCAGAAATGTTGTAGTTCCTGCAAGTTTAAGCCGTGAAATGATTGGTTGCTTCTGATTGTCTATAAAGGCAGACATTGCTGAGGAGAGGAAGAGAAGCAAATGTTCAGATCGTTCAGTATTGTAGATTAAACCCTTATAGTCTAAAAAATATCAGAGTCTTTGATAAGAAATCAACAGATGCTGGTTATTTAAGGCCGATGTCGATTATTCAGGCATCAGTTTATGCTGCTGAGTCTTTGAGCTGATCTCACTTCCTTCATCTGCATAATAAAAATCAAACAATGTTACATAAGCCTCAGCTGAAATAAAAAATAAACTGATTTATAAATCAAAGCATGCATCGCCTGATGTATCGCAGATTCAGAAAACTTTGCTACCAGTTTTTAGACTTAAACTCAGAAAGTGATTTATTTGCTGCTCTTCACATGTTTTGTGATTAAAAGTATTCACACCCCTTAAAAATGTTTGTGTTTTAACGTATATTATTGCGATGTGAGTAAAAAACAACTGTAGGTCATAAATGTGTTGGTAGTGCTCCACCCTGAGCTCCAGTATGTCTGCTGGTGAAGGTTTCCGTCCTCCAGGTCAGAGTCATTACAAAAAAGTTAAAATCAATCCACTGGACTTTGTTTCCAATTTTAAAGACGTTTAGCTTCCCATCCAGGAAGCTTTTTTAATTCAAAATGTCAGGAATAGCGTTAAGTTCCAGGTTTTATACAGTAGCCCAATAAAACCTTGTTTTTGTTTGGAAAACATGCAAATTGGAACAGACTGTTGGTCCACTCTATAAAACCCCGAACTCAACGCTGTTCCTGACATTTTGAATTGAAAAAGCTTCCTGGATGTGAAGCGAAACGTGGAAATCTGGAAACAAAGTTTGTTTTTCATTTTCTTTTTTGGACTATTTAAACAAAGATGATGTAAATCATGTATTGCATAATAAACGCATTAAGCTCTGTTGTTTTTAAAAGGTTCAAGGGGTGTGAAAACTTCCTGGAAACTCTCTAGATAAAAGCTGCTATATCCGGTTTTACCTGTAGGGTTGTAGTTACTGAGTGAAACTCAGGATGTTTCTGCTTGACTCTAAACCCGATCAAGAAGCTAAAAAAAAAGGTTTCCTGCAGGTAAATACCAGCCTGGTGTGGACCGACCCGATCCCAAGACGTGGAAGGCTAATTTCCGCTGTGCCATGAACAGCCTGCCTGACATCGAGGAGGTGAAGGACAAGAGCATCAAGAAAGGAACCAACGCCTTCAGAGTTTATAAGATGCTCTCCTCCTCCGAGAGGAGCTTGAAGAAAGGTGAGAGCCGCTGATTTCCTCATCTGTTCCGCAACTAAAGGGGAAAACCATCTAAAAAGGTTTCAATCACTGTCCTCTCAGGAAAGAAGAAGGCAGATAAGGAAGGGAAGGCAAAGGCAAGTAAAGAGGTAGGTGAAAACCCGGGCTGTGGAGGGGTTCCTTGTTTCTTTCTGTAAACTTGAACCTGCAGCAGATTAAATCTCCTCTCTACGGCCAGTTTGGTAGCATGTCGCTCATTGTTGGAATACTTTACTCAGAATTGCGTTTTAGCTGCAGTTCCTCCTGCCAGGACGGAGAAAAACTCCTCTAGAGCGAAGGGGGGAGCGGCTGGGCTGAACAATCAGCTCTCCTTCCTGTTCCCACATGATGCTGGATCAGATAAGACACTGGGAGCCAGTGGGAGGGGCTCAGATGGAGCAAAGATCCAGCTGTTGTTCCTCTAAATCAGAGAGGCTTCCTGCCCGCCGCTCCGTGTTTCATTTTTCAGCGCCAGGTTTGGGAATATCTGCTCCTCCTGCAGCAGTGGCGTTCTGCATGCAGCTAGCTTCCTACCTCCATGATGTTTCTCATCACAGACCTCCATGTGTTCAACTTTACTGCTGCAACAAAGCGGTGCTTGGTTCTATAGCATGAATTCATTAAAAGGAGATTTATGAATAAACAATGCAAACAGTGTGGAACACTTTTCCCTTCAGCCCTGTTTATTCTGCTGATCCCAAATACAATCCTAAGTGGTAGATGGAGCCCAGGTTGGTGGGATGGGGCTAAAAATTTCCACCTGAAATCAAAAGATAGGAAAATGTTAGATAGTTTGAGATAAAACCTTTAATTACTCTTATTAAAGTTCAATAAATAAACAGCTCTGGCCGTCTGATGGACGCCGTACCCGATCAGTGCCCCTCAGAGCATCCGTGTTTTTATAAAATCCAGCTCTTCTGTGGAAACCTCAGAGCTTTCATTGAAAAATGATTAGCTGCTCCATAAATCCTCATTAATGTCATTCTTTTTTTATTAAAAGGAATACAAACATTCCTTGACAACATCACAATTTATGAAAGATGGTCACATGGCAGGAAAAAATCAAACCCTTTAAGCCCAGAAGGCTTAGTAATAGCCTATACATGAGTGAAAATAATAAATAGTAAATAAATACGTGGACATTTAAGACATTACAGCATACTTTTGGAATATGTCGGCCATTTTTCTGCATATCGGCTGATTTTTGGAAACTTTGCAGTTATGGCTAATCTTTAATGAAACTAATCTATTGCTCTGATTTGGCTCTTATTTTTGGTGTTGTTTTTACTCCATAGATTCTAGTTTTTAACTTAACCAACCCTCCCCATCCTCTTCTTTCCAGGGAGCTTCTCTGTCTCCAAACACGACTTTTTCTGAAGGCTTTGCCGGACCCATCGACTGCTCCAGGCAGGCCAGGCTTAAAGAGGAGGCTCTGGAGCTCACAGTGACCAACAGTGCATCAGGTACGGCTCCGTGTTCTACGGAGGAACCGATTTTCCTTCATATCCAGCTAGATTCAGTGTGAATCCTGACTGCGATGCTTTGTGCAGCCATGGCCGCTTCTGCCGGGGAGCAGCTGATCCAAAGCGAGCAGCTGCCGGACGTGTGCCAGACCATCGAGGTGACAACGGAGAACGAGGAGCAGACCGTCAGCTCCTCCCACTCCTACCCGCTGCAGATCTCTCCTGTATCTTCGTGCGGTGAGGCGCCACACACACTTCCTGCTAAAGCGCGACACGTTAGGAGCAAAGAAAAGCTCCTGACCACAAACAGACCACCTTAACATCAGAGCGGTTTCTGAATGAACAGATCTGACTGTGATCATGGAGGTCGGTCCTGAAGCTGTGGTTAGATGCTGAGCTGATGAACTGATGGTGGCAGATGATCATCCAGGCTGAGCCTGTGCGGCTTTAGCTTCCCTCTCTGCCTGGGTGTTGTTTGTTCTGGCTGTGACTCCATCCTGGAGAGAAATATCAGCTGTGCTGCTGCCATCAACACCTTTGTTTATAGATGTTGGAGATCGGCCTGTTTTTCAATGTAGTCCTGTTTCTCTGACTGTGACTAACTGGATGTGCTCTCTTCATCCTCTGACATGGGAGCTGGCTCGGAGCTCGTCTGCCTGGCTGTGTGTTTCCTGGATGGGGCCGCCTTTTACAGCTGCCTTTTGTATCTAATTCAATTCAGTTTATTTCTATAGCGCCAATTTCACAACACTTGTCATCTCAAGGTATGTTACATTTCACCAGATCATCCAGTCAAATTGATTTAAAGGTTTCTATCTAAGGAAAACCAGTTGATTGCATTGACTCGAAGGCAATCCCTCACATTAAGCATGCTTGCAGCGACAGTAGAGAGGAAAAACTCCCTTTTAACAGGAAGAAATCAGAACCAAGGCTCAGTGTGCCGACTGGGGTTCAAAGAGACAGAAGCAGAGATACAAATCTCTGCTCACACAACTGGCCGCTGACGCTGCACCTGGTTCTGCTAGAAGTTTCTTCCTGTTAAAAGAGAGTTTTTCCTCTCCACTGTCGCTGCAAGCATGAGTCGGCTCATATTTATGAGTCGATGCAATCCTTAGATAGAAAACTTTGAACCACATTAAATTAAGGCCGTAATTGGCATTAAAATTCATTAAATGTGATTATGGTGGCATTTAAAATGCTTTATAAAAACAAGTTTCTAAAAACAATTTTTTCGGATATATTATATCGTGATATATTTGCGCGGATCTGCTTTGGGGTGATCGTAAAGCCGTATGTTTGGAAAAGAAGCTTGAGGCGGAGAAAATGGAAATATTAAAATAATGGTGCCTGGAAAATTAGGGATTTGTGTATATGTGTACATATGTATGTATATGTGTGTGTGTGTGTGTATATATATATATATATATATATATATATATGAATGAATGGGTGTCATGGGTACTTGTTGATGGCATTAGAATTATTTCTAAGTGCAATAAAAAGCATTAAATAAGAGTTGCTCATTCCTGTATAAACTTTTAATCAATTTGATTGGATGATCTGGTGAACTGTAAAGTGCTGTGAGATGACGTGTTGTGAATTGGCGCTATAGAAATAAACTGAATGGAATTTTCACACCTCTAACTGTAACGGCGGCGCTTAGCAGCGCTGTGGCCACATCTCACTCCTCCTGATTGCTCCTCTCCTCCGTCCACAGGCAGCGACACAGAGAGCGACACAGAAGACAACAAAGAGGTGGGTCTAACACACACACACACACACACACACACACACACACACACACATGAATCAGCAGCCGGACCAGTTTTCCGTTCAGCAGGTTTCTACCTGTTTCCTCCGTACTGCTCAGAAAGGGTGTGAGTGTAGGAGGGTGTTTCACGGTTTGTGGCCATGACGACAGTTTGGGATGGTCTGCAGGGTTGTTTGGTTTTACAGGTGTGTGAGTTTGTTCCTTCCTGTAACACTGCAAAAGGCCAGAGTGATCTGGGGGGGGGGGGGCGCTCTGTCAAACATTAACAGTTTGATCTCTGCCCCTCTTCACACCAACAAGAGATTCACCCGACTGCCAGTCCACGAGAAACGCACTTCTATCCTGTTTAACCAACATGGCCGCTCCAGCAGAAGCATCAGAGGGGTTAAACATTTACTCTGAATCATGCCTGTTGATTCAGCTGCTGCATAACCTTGGAAAAGTGTTGACACGCCTCTGGACTTTCCTGTTTGCTGCCATTTAAAAAAAAAAAAAAAAAAAAAAGCACAATCTGCAGCTCATTTAATTTGAGGACAATCAGAAAAAAAGCAGCTTTCAAACATGAATCTGAACCGGTTCAAACCAGCCGTGAAACCGGTAACCTGAAGTGTTTTGATCTCAGACTCTGAAAGAGAAACTGGTCTTCACCGTTGGTGGAAGCTGTTTTTAGAAGCCAGATGTCTCTTCCTGTTTCAGTTCATAGGCGACATCCGTCCAACTGATCCCTGATGTTTAATTCTTCCTCAATTCACATGAAAAATAACACAATGTTACGCCAGCCTCAGTTTAAGCAAACCAGACATTAATTAACCAATCAAACACGAATGGTGACTATGAGACGGATAAACAAATAAGGGACATTTAGGTTGTTGATTAGAGAGAGATGCAGCTTTTTCAGCCGAGCGTTTCTGCAGTGACTCACTCTAACATGTAGCTTCACATCTCCTCGCTCTAAACTTCCCTGAAACCTCTGAGAATCATCCACCTATAAACTGTTCCAGTCACTGCGGCTGCGTTTAGTTTCCATCATATTGAGTATTAAAATCCTTTACTGTTTTGGTCAGTAAAGGATTTTAATGGGCGTCCTGGCTGCAGCTTGGTCCTGATGTGAGGATCCGGTGTAAGTACCAGGTCTGCTCAGGCTCTGTGCGGTCCAGAGGTGTTACACTATATCAGCGGTAACAGATTAGAAATCAGCGGGGTCCCAATAAACTGTGAACTGCCTCACTGTTATTGTTCCACAAGTAGAATCACTTTTTTTTTTCTTTGCCTCAAATCTCCATGAAAGTCATTTTTAAGATGTCCCATTCCTCCCCTGCTCTGAGATCTAGATAAAAAGAAGCACTCAGACTTTTCCTGTCGCCTCGTTAAATGGCTGAGCTCAGTCTGAGAACGCATTCATGCTGGTGAAGATTCCCAGTCATCCAGGTCATAATCATTCCCGAAAAAAATAAAAAAAAAACAATCCACTGGACTTTGTTTCCAAGTTTGAAGACGTTTTGCTTCCCATCCTGGAAGCGTTTTCATTCCAATCAGACCCGTGTGGGACATTTCAGGCTAACAGAAGAAGCCGTTCCTAAGGGACGGACCCGTTCATCCGTTTTCTAAGCCAAAACAAGGCTTTATTGGGCTACTGTATTAAATAACTCGATGCTGTTTCTGACGTTTGAATTGAAAAAGCTTCCTGGATGGGAAGCCAAACGTCTTCAAACTTGGAAACAAATGTTTCGGACTGAGAATGATAGTTTTCTGCTTTCAGCTAGCTTATGTCACCAAAGAAACATAAGAGCAAATATAGGTAATAATAAGTTGAAACTCCAGAAGAGATGCCATACAGTTTGTTTGAGGAAATGGCCATACTGTGACATCATCAGCAGGGGCAGGACCCCGAGCAGATCCGGTACCTACATTCTAATCTGATCTGTTAAGAACGTGATGCATGGTGGTGGCAGCATCATGCTGTGGCAGCATGTTTTAAAACGCTCTAACCTGTTTTCCTCCAACAGGCCGTGGGTCTGACGTGGAAGCGGGAGTACCCGTCGGTTCTGCGCGTCCCGCCGTGTTCCCTCCCCAGCATGGCCACCTTCGTCAGCCCCAGCATGTCCAACTTCAGGGTCACCAGCCTGAAGGACCCTGCGCCGCTCATCAGCTACCACATCGACGGCTGGACGCCCGCCTACAGCCAAAACTCTCACGCGTCCTCGCCCAGCGCCAGTCCCAGCGAGGTGCGCGCCAGCGTCATCAGGAAGACCTCTGACGTCACGTCGTCCTGACCTCCGACCCCCCAGACTAGGAGGCGCGGCGGCTTCTATGGGGTCGGGGGCTGACCTCCACGGTTTGCTTCAACATCTCTGCGGATCTCCGGTTCCCCTTCTTTAACGGACCGGCGCTCCGCCGGCCGCCATTAAGGGGGCGGTGTGACGGCTCTGCAGACCGTCCTGTGTGAGGCGGACGGAAGGGACAGACCCGCGTCCTCCATGTGTGGCTGCTGCAGAGGTTCTCCTTTCACCAAAGATTTGAATCCCGTCCGTTATTTGTGACGCAGGCGGTTGGGAATCACCTCCCGTGGTTTCAAACCGCCTAACCCATCCAACCAAAGCCCAGGACTTCAACTACTGAGTTAGACGCTCTGCTGGGGACACATGGAACCAGTGGCAAAGGTCTATTTATATTCTCACTCTGCGGACACTGGACCATGCATCGCCGCAGCGGGGTGGGGGGGCTAACGGACCGCCGCCAGGCCTCTGCCATGTACATAGATCTATAGTGTGGGTTTGATTGCTTCAGCACCTTACAGACAGCACAGAGACAGAGAGAGGCGGGGAGCACAGCTCTGCTGCAGAAACGTGCCTTTTTGTTCAGACGAGGCGCAGCCCGGCGGGAAATCAGCAACAATCCACAGACTCAGAGTGTCTGAGGGTTTGAAAAAAATACTTTTCTAATCCTGAAGACGGGCGGACGAACGTTTGATGGCCTTTTATCGTCTCATTGAGCTCATTTAAATCAGCCTCTGTTGCCTCGGAGCCAAACTGGTTTAGGATCATGTTTATACTGCTAAAGGTGTCCATCAAGTCTTTTTTTTTTTTTTTTTACTCATTTTGAGATTGATAAACTAAGCAATAGCAGATTCTGTGAGATTATTAATGTTGCTTTATAGAAAATTCTAATCAGAATAAGAGAAACTGTCTGTCAGAGCAGGAGGACGACGTCTTTGAGTTTTTGTGTGGATCTAAGATCGAACCGTCTGATATTTACTGGTTTAAAACTGATCTAAAATCTGTTTATTTTCCCTTCATTTGAGCAGCTAAATAACCGGACTAGCCGATAGAAAAAGTGTTTACACCCTTAAAATAAGAGGATTTGTTTTCAATAATCCCCATTCTTAAAAAAAAATCTTAAAAAGATCTTGGCGTCTAATAGAACCTGAGAAAAATGACATGAAATTAAGCAAATAATATAAATAAAATAAAGTGTATATATAGAGATGAAATTAAAGGGATTCTTATTAAATTACTATTTAAAATTAGCTCTTTTATTATTGCTTAGGCAGTTATTCAGTTTATCAATGTTTTTTCTTAGACTTGTTTGAAGGAGGGCATTTATTCCCTCTGCGTGTTTAACAGAACGGGTTAAAATGATGTTATTAACTAGTAATATGTTTGGATTATCTTTCTTTGCCATATTAACTTTAGAGACATAAGAGTTAAAATCTATATTTCTAGGTCGACACATTCTATTAATCTGACAGCTGAAGAACAGGGTTCTGTTTAGGGCTAAAACAGTTAATTGGATTGATTATTGAAATAATCGTAAACTAAGTGATCGATTAATCGTTAACTGGAGTATAAAGACTCTAAAACATGCGTTAAGCTTACGGAGCAACCCTCTTAAAGCAGTAATTATGTCAAAATTGTAAAAAAAAAAAAAACATTTAGCATTTAAGAAACTTTTTGTCAATCTGCTTTGTCTGTCAAACATTTTTGTTTCACCTGATTTATTTACATAAAATTAACCTTTTTGCTATCTGATTATTAACTGTTTGATCAAAAAACAGATTAATCGATTTGCAAAATAATTGTTAGTTGCCGCCTTAATCAGGTAATAATTACCTGTTAATCAGATCGAATCTTCTTGCCTGCTCAAAACAAGGGAAAATAAATTTAATCCAAGGAAATCTGATGTATGTTTCATTTTTTGAAGCGTTTCAGACATGCTGCTTGTAGTTTTCCTCCTTAAATCTGCTCTTCAGTGGCGTAGCCGTCAGAGGGGCGGATCTTTCCTTTAGAGAGAGAAGTCAGTCAATCAGTCAGCTTTCAGCCAGCTGACCGGCAGCACCCAGCCAGTTCAGACTGACGGCTCAGGCTGGCTTCAAGCTAGCTTAGCTGTAGCCGGAGTGGCTCCTGCTGCAGGATCTGAGTTTGTCCAGGAAAGAAAGTTGCTGTCGTGCCTTTTATAGAAAAAACCAACTAGATATGTTTTATCAAACCCAGGGTCTCAGTTCTATCTGCACACATCCGCCAGCTTCATCTTTGCCTCCAACAAAGAAAGGAGATCTCAGGGGTGGTTGGTGGCCGTTCTGAGAGCCGCAGCGGCTAGAAGCTAGCAGGCTAAAGCAGAGAGGGCCGAGCTGCACAGGAAGCCAGCGGGGCCCCTGGGAGCCTGCAGGGCTTTGGGAACAAACCCCTCCAGAGTGAAACACTGGATTCACACAAACCTTTGCTGTGATTTTTACTTCAGGACTCGTGGATCTAAGGGGCTTTTTGCTTGCTTTACCTTTCAAACACGTGCCTTTATTGTTGCTCTGAGAGACCAGGCTGCAGCTGCATGGGAGTCCGGCGCTGCAGCTCGTCTGTGATATTTATAACTTAACCCATCAGATTATATGGACCAGAGTCGCTGCTTTGACTAGAGTGAACGCTTTATAGGATCAGCTGAAACGCTGAATGTGCCAAACTGCACGAGGTGTTTCCTGTCGTATAAAACAGGAACAAGAAGAGGGACGAGTCGATGCCTTAAAGAAGCCTAACGGTGACATCCGTCCTAAAATCTGCTAATGATGGATTAGACTCAGCAGTGGAAGCTGATCAAAGATCTGTCTGTCTGTTTTTTTGTGATTTAGAGCCATGGAATTAGGAAAAAGTTTCCCTCTTCATGTTCAGCTGCAAACTCTAAAGGACTGAGTATTTAGCTGAAACCCAGTAGAACCATCATGGGTCTGCGTCTCATCACGTCTGTCTGTACATTCTGAAATCTACATGTGAATCAACATCTTAAATGAAATAAAGTCCTGTTTTTTTATTATTTGCCCCGTGTTCAGTATGATTTTATGACCGTCACAGATAGGGCTCTGTTATCTGCTGTCAGCAGAAGGATCAGAGTCCAGCTTTTATGGCTGCTGGGCCTCAGAGAGCTCGTATATCTGAAGCCGTTAAGATAACAAGGGGGACGGCCTGTGGCGGGTCCTTTGTTGGAGACTTCAGCCAACCTGCAGGCTGAGTTCAGGATTACAGGTTGGCTGCTGAGCCGTTGGAAGTCGTTGCCTGTAGAGACACGAGGAGCCGTGGTGAACGCTTGTCAGCATGAGGCCCCCTCTGCTCTCAGCCACTTCTCTGGCTTCTTCCACAGCTCTAACCTCTGTTTCAGTTTCAGTTGCTGTTCTCGGTTCTCACTCTGCTTCCTGTTTTTCTCAGGCCCCAGCGGATGGCTGGCCAGTTGCCTTCACAACTGCTAACCACATGCCATTAGTCATAGTAAACAGCCAGTCAGTATGTTCCTTTTCTCTTGGATTTATCTCTCTGCACAGATCTTCTGGACCTCACACAGTGCTGACAGCAATCTGCGGATGTGCTTTTAGAAATCTTCACTTTTCAGGAAAGTTTAATCATGCTATTAAAATTTATTTTCCCCCTTACACTTTACTTTGTTTACATAGTAAACAAATTACTCCTTTTTTGTGTAACAAACACTCATTTTTAAAGGTAAAAAGAGGAAGTTCAGTTCACCAAAACAGAAATAAAAGGATATTCTATATAGGTATGGCATTAATGCCACCTAGTGACCAAACACAGAATTACAGCTGCTGATCTATTAACATTTCAACTTGATCCCAGTATTGTAGTTCATCTTTTGTAAAAACTTGAGTCGTTTTTGATAGGTGCTACAATTCAATTCAGTTTATTTCTATAGCGCCAATTCACAGCACGTCATCTCAAGGTGCTTTACAGTTCAACCAGATCATCCAGTCTTGATTCAAAGTTTTCTATCTAAGGAAAACCAGTTGATTGCATCGATCCATTGACTCAAAGGCAATCCCTCACACTAAGCATGCTTGTAGCGACAGTGGAGAGGAAAAACTCCCTTTTAACAGGAAGAAACCTCCAGTAGAACCAGACTCAGTGTGAGCGGCCATCTGCTGAGGCCGACAATGAGAAAAAGCAGAGAGGGCAGAACATTAGATTGAACTAACAGATTCTACAGAGTGGGAGAATGAAATAGGGGTCCCTACGTCCTCCAGAAGTATAAGCCTATAGCAGCATAATAACTATAGAGATGGCTCAGATTGATTTCACAAAGTTAGAATTAATTGAAGTTATATTGGTTTAAGTTTCCCCTTTGTTTCAGTATTGTGTACTTGCATATACACATATACAGTAGCAGCCATTCAAAATAGCCCTCCCCAGTCAAATACCAGCTGAATGGCAGCCCACTTCCATTCAACTCCCAGTAAAATCCCCATCCAACTTCCAGCCACTGGACTCCACCCTTGCACTGAATTACAGGGTCTGACCAGGAGAAGCTGCTTCTCTTTATAAATATTATCTGTTTAATAATAATTTTTTTTTTTTTTTGCATCATTGGGCTTTATTTGAAAGCGGCCTAAGAGGAAAATGTGACTGGGAGAGAGAGGCAAAGACATGCAACAAAGGTCAGCAAGCTCGACCTCAAACTAATGACGGCCCCGTAACGCACTAAGGCCTTCATCCATGGATATGGATCAATCAGTTTTGACTTGATCTGAGCCTATAACACAATATAAAAAAAAACAACCTTTCCCCTCTTGGTTTTCTTGTTCTTCTTCTAGCTAATGTTAGAGAAAGAGGACGGTTTAAATACAAAATTATGTTTTCAGAGGGGACATTTGGTCACATGGCGCATCTAAACCAAGTGTTCACCATTGGTTGCAAAACTATTACACCGTTTAGAAAGGGAGAATGAGGAGTATACAGAAGCAACTCAAGGTCAAGATAAGATAAAGCAAGGAAGGATACAGGAAGAGACTGTAAAACAAGTTCTAGCAGAACAATATCAGAGATGTGTGGTCAGGGATGGAAGGATGATCAGACAGATGGAAGACTGGACAGAGAAAATGAAATGAATGCATTATTTAACAGATTCAGTTTAGGAACAATCTCAGCTTCTTTCTTTATTGCCTACAGTCACATGGACACCCTGCCCTCTGCCACTGACTTCCCTGCTTCTATTAGTTTGTCATCAGCCAAATCATCCCTACAGTATGTCTTCCACCTGGCTATTTCTAGAACAGAGGTGCTCAAGTCCAGCCCTCAAGAGCTACCATCCTGTAACTTTTAGATGCAGCTCTTCTCTATCACACCTGAACTGAAAGGCTCAATTCCCTCATTTAGCTCAGCAGNCAGCCCTCAAGAGCTACCATCCTGTAACTTTTAGATGCAGCTCTTCTCTATCACACCTGAACTGAAAGGCTCAATTCCCTCATTTAGCTCAGCAGAGGCCTGTTAAGAAGCCACTCATGTGATTCAGGTGTGTTAAAAATGGGGTGCATCAAAAAGTTGCAGGAAAGTAGCTCTTGAGGACGACTCATGCACCACTGCTCTAGAAGTCATGCGAAGAGGCAGCTGGAGAGACTGAATCATAATAGGTCACCAGGTCTAGGTGAGTGTCAGCCCCAGAGTCCTGAAGGTCTGTCCAGAGCAGCTCTGTGGGATTATACAGCACCTCTTTAACCTTAGTCTGACCCTGGAGACAGTTCCAGGGATGTGAAGGCCTCCTTCTTTGTTCCAGTGCCAAAGAGGACTCAGCCATCAGTCCTCAGGGACTATAGACCTGTTGCCCTGACATCATGAAGGTTTTAGGGCAAGGGTGGGCAATTCCAGTTCCTGGGGGCAGGTATCCTTCAACTTTTAGATGTGCCTTTGGTTCAACACACCTGAATCAAGTAATTAGTTGATTGAGAGGACTTGTGAGAAACTGACTGTATACTGAGTTGGTAACTCAGCCATTTGCTTCAGGTGTGTTTGACAAAGGAAGGATCTAAAACCTTCAGGATACCGGCCCTCAGGAACTGGAATTGCCCACCCCTCTCTTAGGGGGACTTCTGTTAGTTGACCTCAGCAAACGAACAAGTAGCTATCAGGACCCCCTGCAGTTTGCTTATCACTGTGGAAGATGCCATAATACACCTCCTTCAAAAAACCCACTTTCCTTTAGACCAGGGGTCCCCAAACTTTTCCCTGTGAGGGCCACATAACTTTTCCCTTCTCTGATGGGGGGCCAGGGTCAGTTTGTAACAGAAAAATTGTGACAATTGCAAGAGTGCCTAAATTTATGACGGGATTTATGTCTTTATGACGGGAGTCATAGTGTCTCTGCAGGTTATATTCTTTGAATACCGCCACCGCTTCTTGACAGATGACACAGACGGCCTTTTCTTTACATTGAACAAAAAAAATATCGTTTGTCCAATTCAGGTTTAATGCCCTGCATTCTGACTCAATTTTTCTCTTACCTTATCTTTTCGCCATTACTCCATTTGCTCTTTACGAAAGAGGATTAGGGCCATTCAAAAGAAAAAAAAACTATTCAATTCTGACAATTTGTTCTTAATTAAAGTCAGAATTCTGACTTTTTCCTCAGAATTCTGAGAATAAAGTCAGAATTCTGAGGAAAAAGTCAGAACTGAAGAGACTATTATTTTTATTTCTTTTGAATGGCCTTAATCCTCTTCCGTATCTCTTTGAGAGGGGCAGGTTTAAGATTTTATTCTGGGGGTTGCGAGATAGGGGCACAGACCCCAAAAGTGTGGAACATTGTCGCGTTATATGTTTGAAATGAAATAGTTACTAATAGTTAATAATGAAAAAAACTTCATAATTAAGGAACATTTTATTGCAAATGTCCAACTTTAAAATCAAATCCAAAAAAAAAAACAAAACACTTATATGAAAATACTCTCTGGTATTGTTCAGGGGGCCGGACCAAGTGTGGAGGTGGGCCGGATCCGGCCCGCGGGCCGTAGTTTGGGGACCACTGCTTTAGACCATGCATCCCCAACCTCGGTCCTCGAGGCCC